TTGCTTGCCCGGTTGGGCGTGGCCAAGGTGATTCCGCGCTCTTGGTCTTCATTGGATTCGTCCATTGGCTTGATGCACTGGAACACGAGCAATTCTTGTCCAGAGGCAGAGATTATCCTGTACGAACTGTTGGTTTGGTTTCCAGTAGACGTGGAGATTACAGGCAACTCCAAGACAAAGTGACAATAATTGACAATACGTGCTTGAAAAAGATCAACATTCTAAGATCGAAGTGCTGGTCAGGCTGTTGAAACATCTCAGTGGTACTCTCCGGTGAACTGCCAGGACCACCGGGTACTGCGTGCGAGAGCCAGCTGCAACTAAATCACTGAAATGCTTTCATTATGATGAAGCAAGAAGCACAAAACCCCAAACCATTGTTTGTTTAATATCTTCGCCGTGAACATTCAACTATGTAGAGAGAGAGAGAGAACAATGAAACATCCACAGCCCGTAGAAACCGTTTAGCTTCAGGTGCTGCATATCAACCTTTGAGAGAAGACGCGCGATAGAAGGAAAGAACAGTCTAAGGTGGAGAGAAAAAGAGAGACAGAAAGAAGGCGAGAAGGACAGAGATATCAGAGATATCTTCATATCGGGAGAAAGCAGCAAAAGAAGTGCAAAAGAAGCTAAAGACAAAAATAGAGAGGGTCTAGAGTCTGCAGCAAGAAGCGAAGTGTATGTTCGTCGAATGTGGCAGGAAGATGGACTGCGGATGAGCGAGAATTGCAAGGTTCACTGTTGTTTCACTTTTGGAGGAATCATTTTTGAACCGGTTTGGAACTCATTTGAGTCAAACGCAAGTTCTTCTCAACTGTGTCTACAAAGGGCTGCCATGCTTTGAGTCTTACGCATTCTGTAGTTATGGACACTCATGGGGACTACCATTCGGACAGTGCGCTTGTGTTGCAAGCATGCTCTTGATTGTACAAGCTTTCGTGTGCCCAACATGAATCACCTGCACCGCTGTGGCAGGCCAATGGAGGAACAAATGCCACCGAAAAGCGGCGCTGCCAAGTCTTGTTGAAGCCTTTTATTGCATAGGTCTCCATCCTCACAGTTTTGTCGAAGTCCATGGGACATCAATCACACAACGTTTGCGTTCTACCTTTGAGTCAAAGGGAATGAACTGAAACAGCTTTGCATGGCCCCTTTACCTCTGATGAGTAGCCTTTGCCAGGATTTTTGGCTTCAACGAGATCAAGTTTTTGCCAAAGGTTGATGCAGACAACGCAGCTTGGTGGGCACCGAGCAGGATGCCATGCCAGGAAGGGAACGGGATATAGACACTACAGAAAAAAAATGTACAGCAATGCAATACAGTCCAATATACTTTCTTCAGCAGAGTTGTCTCGACTTGGGATGAAATTGGGCAGCTTTGCTACAGTGTTGAATTGCGCTCCTAGGGCCTAGGGGGGCACAGTCCACTCTTGTGTTTTCTCTTTAGCATCACTCAGACGTGGACGTTGACCGCTCAAGATGGAGGTCAATATGAAACCAACTCTGTGTACGTCATGCTTTCTCGCCACCAAACACCAGGTGCTTTTCACTCTGCTCTTTTTGGCCGGTTCATTGTGAGTGTGTCCACACAGGTCACACGGTCACATGTGTTTTTGCCCCTTTCCTGCTTCCTTGAGGCCGGAGTAGCTCAGTTCTTTGACATATGCTTTGTTCACAAGGCGTGAAAGCTTCACACCCTCAAAACACGTCTTCTTGGGAGCACGCCATGGAGTTCAGTTGAAGCATGAGCAGAAGAATTCTTGGCAGGATCCGGCAGTAGATGGACTCAATATTCGATCCTTCGAACCTTTTGGTGATGCTGCCATGCAAGAGACCACTCGAACCTTCTTCAAAGCACTGAGCTCAGTTGTTTCCAGAATTTGAAAGTCAATGGAACACTGGATGAAGAAGCATCTCAACTGCTTGAAGCAGCAATGCACTTCGACTAAACAGTGACTCATCATCAACTAGAAGAGGGTGGAGCGGATTTATAGTTAAGTTAAGTTTCCCTAAAAATCCAGAAACCAAATGATTAGTGCGAGGGCTTCTAGCTCCCCCGCGCCCTCAGGCGGGGGGAGCTTCCTTGAAGAAGCGTGAGCTATCCTCCTAGGTAGTAGCTTAACTCAGCTACTAGCTACCTCTTCTACTAGCTACCTCTCCTCGGCCTACACCCCCCCCGCGGGTTAAGAATTATCCCGGCAACAAACCCCAAACAGTGTGTGTGTGTGGTCTAGAGGTGTAGTAGCAGAAAGTCCAGAGATCTAGAAGCATTGGGGTCCAGAGAGGTGATGATGGTGATGAAGGTGGAGGTCGTGGTGATGGTGGCGGTGGTGGTGAGTGAGTGAGAGTGTGAGTGTGAGTGAGAGTGTGAGTGAGAGTGAGTGTGGGTGAGAGTGAGAGTGAGAGTGAGAGGCCATTGCTTGTAGGTTGGGGCCCATCGCTACTAAGAGTGAGAGTGTGAGTGTGAGTGTGCCAAAAAAAGTGCTGTACCTGCCACGAAACCTGCACTTCGAGGTTCAGAAAACGCTGTGCCTGCCACGAAATCTGCACTTCCAGGTTCATAAAATGCTGTGCCTGCTACGAAATTTGTATTTCCAAGTTCACAAAGTGGTGTCTGCACTTCGAGGTTTGCAAAGTGCTGTGCCTGCGACGAAATCTACACTTCGAGGTTCAGAAAGTGGTGTGCTTGCCACGAAATCTGCACTTCGAGGTTCACAAAGTGCTGCGCCTGTCACGAAATCTGCATGTCCAAACGTCACGATTCACTGCAACCAACCTGCCACGAAAACTGCACTTCGAAGCATTAACCGCTCCGATCTCTTGCGCCTGTCACGAAAAGTCGACTTTGGACCACCAAAGCACGAGGTTTCCCTTGCGCCTGCCACGAAAAGTGGCCACCATGTCCGAAAATGCGCGAGCGCAACGAGAGCGCAGTCCCGAGAAGCACCCACCGCTGCCACCCAGATTTCGCGAGCCTGCGCAGTCGAAGTGCACTAAGAGGATTTTGAGAGGCATGAATGTACTGTAAGCAGCAACGAAGTAGCCGGACCGACCGTGCAGCCCACTCTATCCAGCCCCGGTGCTTAACACCTGCCGTAAGAACCCCTAGTGTGTCCACACTGTTTCGGGAAAAAGTGAAGATATTCTGTGAAGATATTCGGGTCCGCAAGGCTCACCGCTTTCTGAAAGCTAGTTTTCAGTAGCCCTGTTTCACAGCTGTTTGACCAGGTTGGCCAGCTCGTAGTGGAGCCACTTTGGCTTTATGGCACTGATGGCTGGGCCCTGCGCTGAGATGCCAAAACGTGCGAAGGGACAAAGTGGACGTTGTGCATCATGCAATTAATGTACGCGTCATCAGCTGGTCCGATTTCTCGCAACCTCTGCCCCGAGCCAAAGCTATGCAGATAATCATACAAACATGATGCATGTACAGCTTTGATTCGCTCCAACACTGATCAGTCCAGCTTTGAGGTGATGACACGCCCAAATATCATCCGCCTTGGGCCTCCTGACCTGACAAAGTCGAGCAATCTTCATGGCAGTGTTCTGGATGGCTACCTGGCCAACGGGACTGTGAAACCTCCAGTCGTAGCAAGTGTCTGATGTAAACCCTGTTTGCAAGGACCAAGTGCAAAGGGAGTTGAAGAAGGCTGTAGGGTGGATAGCTCCTGTGAGGAATGTGGATCAGATCCTCTCATTTGTTCAATTTTTATGGGCGGTGCGCACTGTCAATCATGCTTCGAAGCTCGCTTGAATGCACAAGTCATTGCATTCGCAGGACAAATCCAATGGGGCCTATGATCAAGGTGCAGTTTTGCTGTGTCTCACAGCATTTAACTCCTTATATGCTGTGCTGTGATTTGCTCGATGCAACGGTCAAGACAATTTCTTTTGCAACGAAAGTCATCGCCAAGACGGATGTTCCTCTTTTGTTGGTTGGGCTGAAAACCACACAAAAACACATTGACGCGGAAAGCCACGTTTTGTGGTCGGGGTCCACTGCTTGAGCAGGTGATTTTGGAGGATCAAACCACTGGATCCTTGGATGCGTATGGCTGCTTTGGATTCATCCCCAATGAGGCCTCTATTGCCCCTGTCTCAGTGCTTGTTTCAGTTTTTGTCGCTTCAGTTGGGGAATGTCTGTGCGCTCGATCCGCTTAGGCTGGGGTGTACTGCGCAAATCGGTCCTTCTGCACACCCAGGGCCACCAAGACGGGTGAGGACAGATCGCTAGTAGGGTTAGAATAGTTGGATCTGGTACCAATGCAGTTGATGAGAGTGCCACTCTCTTGGGCTTGATTCAAGCTGGTTCGAGAATGGCCTGCTTTCATTCAAACAGATGGGTTTGGGTTGACACAAGCCATCTAGCCATCATACCCTGCATGACATATGACTGCTGATAATGCCAGAGGATCACACCGTGTGGAGGTTTTTGGGTGTTCGTTGCCATGTGAGACACCCTTTGCATGAGGAGCTGATACTGGATGGTGGAAATCCAGATCACAGAATCACTGTGCTCAAGGCTTCAATGCTGTCCAGAACGTGAAGAGAAGCATGAAGCAAACAGAGAATTGTGAGGTCTTGCAAAGTTGCAACATGAAGTTGGGCCTATTTGATGTCCTTTGGTGTATGTGTACATATGTATGGACACAAGACTTCGCTGCTTTCGATTGTAAGAGGTCAGTTTGATGTATACAGTCCATTGATTTTCAGTGAATCCAGCAAGATACACATTGAGCAACTTGGTTGACTTGACAACGTGGGAGGCTGGCGTGACATCTGTGTGCTACTGTGAGGTGCGAAGTTTTGAAGTTTTCCCGCTGTTTGAGGTTGAGAGTTAAGCTGATTGTGCGACACATTCTACGACTAAGAGATATACACGCCGCAGAACAAGAACAGAAAAGAGGCCAAAGTTTAAAGGTCTAAGAAATCAGACACACACCACACGTGCGGGGTGACCCCAAACGTCAACTGCGCTATTCTGCAGTCATGGCCTGCCGATGGACGGGAACGCTGCAACAGGCCTGCGTTTGATCTCCAAAGCAGCCGGAGTAGCTCATTCCATTTGTCTAGACCGATCTCTGGCCAGGGTGGAAGATTGGATTTTGGTTGGGAAATTCCTGGTGTCGGGTGCCCGTGGAAATCAGGACTGGCCGACGATTCGCAAGTTGTGTTATAGGTCTACTTCTGTCTGAGCCTTTGGCAATCTCACAGTATCTCTAGGCTTTGAACCTGCTATGTGCAAGTGACCCCAGGAGTGGACCTTGGATACGGGCATGGTACAGAGTCTGGAAGTTGAAGGCTGGAGATTCTTTCTGCACCACAACTCGGAGGACACGCGTCAAGTAAGTTGTGCCCTTCTTCTACTTAAGTTTTTCAACAAATCTAAGAGGCCGTGAGCTATCCTGCGTCCATGCTAGTACCTCTACTAGCGGCCTACCCCTTTTTAAACAACGAACAACATTTTCTCTTGTTGTTATCATGCCTCATGGCTCGTCCTTGTTTGTTTCCCCCTTGAGCAGAGAACGGGTGGTGGCGCAGGTTGGGGCCTACGGGAGACCAACACCATCCGCATCCTTGAAAGGGGCAAGACGTGCCGTGAGGTGGGGCGAAGCCTTCTGTGTAGCCCTTGAGCAATTTTTCCAAAACTGTTCAAGGTTTTCATTGGAACTGTTTTAGAGGCACAGTGAGTCAGTGAGTTGAGTTCAGCGTGTGGGACACGGGAATCTGTTTGGAAACAGATGGTGTGAGGAGTCACACATTTGTTTGTTCGCACCGTAGTTGAATTTGTCCCGATCGTGCCCTGTACTGTGTCAGGAAGGCTACTCACAGGTGGCTACGCATGTGAAATGGTGCTCAGCAAAGAACAAAGGCCCGGGTAGCTAAAAAGTCACAGAGATTCCATTGATGCCTATGGATGTTCAATGTCCACTCCTGAAGCCGCCGTTGGTGGTTGTGGTTTTGACGATTCTCCCTCTTGACAAGGTCAGTCATGTGTTATGATTCGGATCTTGCTTTCGGCATCCTGGTCGAGATGTCTTGTTTGCAATAGTGTCCCAGTCAGGTTATGGTCACATCGTCGCAATCCAACAACAATGGTGTCTCTAGCTTCTGATGTGTGCAGAACGGGTTCCTTATGGTGATTCTGCCATGCGTCTGACTACATTCTTGCTCTTTAGTTGTAAGGGGTGGGGCCCGGTAGGGGGTAGTCACGGGTTCACGGATAGCCACGGGTAGTCACAGATAGTCAAGTAGTCAAGTTCAAAGACCTAAACCCTTCGGCGTTTTTGCAACTGTTCCTTAATCCTCATGGTGTTCCTTGGGTCTCCCCTCCCGGCCCTGTAGCATTGCTGTCCATTTTGGGCATCCGACGAGCTAAGAAGGGTGCATCCCTTGCCTCATACACCAGCGGCATAAGAATGAGTTCTGTTGTTTGACTCAAGGATTTCTGCGTATCGATGTTGTTTGCCCTTTTAGGTTTCATGTCTGTACCAATGCGGAATTGAAGCAAAGATAGTTTGTGAAACGAGTGACCCAAGTAGAGTGCAAGTTCGCTCAGCGCGAAGGCATTTGTGTAATGCATGGTCCAGGAACAAATGACCCTCGGCTGCAAGTATGGGTGGATGTATTGGTTGGGTTTGGATGATCAGAAGCGTACTTGCAGGGTACTTGCATCATGGCAGGAGACTTCGATATTTGATTTGCCTGGAATATTGTGGCGCCATAACTCAACAGATCCACCGGCATACATCTACCAGATCGAAGCGGCTTCCGATGGACGAGGACAGCTACGACGTGTTTTTGGGGCGACAAACATTTATATACATTCCCGCGGTAAGGAAGGATTTGGAGGTAAGGCCCACTGTACAAGCTATAATCACCACTTGCACAAGGATGAAGGATGGTGAGTGTAGATCCAGACAGATTTGGGTGATTTGTCATTCTTCTTTCCGGAGAGCTGCCTGTCAACTGCCCTGTCCAAATCACCTCAATGTACTGCACGTGACATTTTGGCTTGATGCCCTTCCTGCAGGAACTTTCCTTCACTTCCCGGTGGTACCTGTCATTAGGCAAGTTCTCCCGCACCGGTCCACGGTAGTTGCAAAGCAGAACAGCAACTAGCAAGGGTAAACCTATGTTTCGAGGTTCTTATGGCCTGTTCTGCAATTGATTCGGATGTTAATGCGTGAGATCGTTGAGGAAGATTGCTTGTGGAGTCTCAAAATGCATTGACAGGCAATTCGACACCATTGTCATCGAAGAGAATATAGTACCTCAGGCATTGGTAGCTTGCATGACAAAGTCCTGGCTTGTTTCTAAAGACACTTGCTACACCCTGGGAGGCTGACCATTGGGTACGCCAGAGAGACTTGCAGCGCATTCTTCGTGGCCAGGAGCCAGTCGTTGATGTGCGTCTCCTTCGGCCGGGGGATGCCCGGAGCCCCTAGTAGTGTTCTTGCGCCTAGTAGCGATGCCAGGAGCCCTTAGTAGTGTCCTTGCTCCTAGTAGCGATGCCCGGAGCCGCTAGTAGTGTTCTTGCGCCTAGTAGCGATGCCCGGAGCCCCTAGTAGTGTCCTTGCTCCTAGTAGCGATGCCCGGAGCCCCTAGTAGCGTCCTTGCTCTTGCTCCTAGTAGCGATGCACGGAGCCTGTGTCCTTGCTCCTAGTAGCGATGCCTTGAGCCCTTGTAGCGTCCTTGCTCCTAGTAGCGATGCCAGGAGCCCTTAGCAGCGTCCTTGCTCCTAGTAGCGATGCCAGGAGCCCCTAGTAGCGTCCTTGCTCCTAGTAGCGATGCCAGGAGCCCCTAGTAGCGTCCTTGCTCCTAGTAGCGATGCCAGGAGCCCCTAGTAGCGTCCTTGCTCCTAGTAGCGATGCCAGGAGCCCTTAGTAGCGTCCTTGCTCCTAGTAGCGATGCCAGGAGCCCCTAGCGATGCCAGGAGCCCCTAGTAGCGTCCTTGCTCCTAGTAGTGATGCCAGGAGCCCCTAGTAGCGTCCTTGCTCCTAGTAGCGATGCCAGGAGCCCCTAGTAGCGTCCTTGCTCCTAGCAAGGCTTCCATTTGCAGGACACTGGCCACCAGATCGTTGAGATGCTCAATGCAGATCGGACTCTTCGGATTGAAATGGCCTCTCGGCCGGTCTCGTTTAGACCTTTCGGGGCGAAAGCAAAAGGACCTTTTGGCTTCAATGAAGGTCTCTGCAATGAATGACCATGGCATCAGAAGCAGAAGGAGTCTTTCAATCGATTAGAGCCATTTCTTTTCTGGCTTTTGGCCTAAGGTGCTCGATCCATTTCCTCAACTCGTCTTCACTCCGCCGCAAGAGGGGAGGCCTTTGACCCTCAAAGACAAAGTTATCATTCCCAAAGTACAGTAATTACTTGAAGTTCTTATTTCTCTCCCTATTCCCAATCCACTTGGCGCTTGGAGGTGGTACCGGAACAATAAGATCAAGGCATGGCGCTAAGCACGTCTTGATCTATGAACTTTAGCGGCCATGTCCCAGTTATTCTCGAAAATTCGGATCGGCACGAACTAAGATCGACATTTCTTTCGACTTTGTGACATTTTTCCCCAGATAGCTAGAAGCTATAGGGGTTCTTACTTCTCAATGGATGGGTTCCGGATTGCGGAAATTGGCTGCCGCTGCCGCCTTGTCTCCCAAGCTTGTCTCCCTTCATGATTTCGCTCTTGGCTGCCGCTGCCGCCTTGTCTCCCAAGCTTGTCTCCCTTCATGATTTCGCTCTTGGCTGCCGCTGCCGCCTTCTCATTTTCTTGCCTGCCTTTGACGCGGATGCTGTTATAAGATGTTATAAGTTGATTTAGGTCTTGTTTACCTTTTCCATCCTTTTCCCGGCTTTGAGTGGGATGTCTCCCAAGCTCGTCTCCCGCTCTTGCCATGGTGTCCAACTTTTCTTGAAGTGCTATCTGGGGTCTATGCCGGTATATATTTTTAAATGTATATCAGGTCTGTTAGGGGCCCAAACCGTGCGCAGTAGAGGATGAAACAGCGATCACTGGCAAACCATAGCCTTTGGGCCTTTGTTTGCTGCCGTCAGGTGCCAGACATTCGCGGATCGGAGGTGTGGTCTCCGTCATGTGCGGTTTAGAAGGCGAAACGCGGCTCTCACGGCTCTCACAGCTCTCTCCATCAGGAAAATGCTTAAAGGTTAGATTTCGTTTGTGAACGATTGGATTTGCAGGAAGTTGGCAATCTGGCAGTTTGCTGGGGCCCTCGCCTGAGAAGATTGATTTAAGAAACAAATCGAGAATTCCCTTTTTGAGTGCCTACTGTAATGGTGAGTATGCCATATGCTATTGAGTTTTGTACCTGGCTTTAGCATTTGGTACTGACCGAGCTTTCGTGACGGTGGGCCTTATATCATCCAGCTGCGCCAATATGTTGCTGCAGCCATCTCCTGAGCCAAGCCTCACCCGTTAAGGTGAGCGTGCGGGGGAGTACTACGCCCTGGCTGGATTCTTGAGCTTTGTGAACCCAAATTTCCTAGCGAGGAGCCAAACTGCAATGAAGATCTGCAGCATGTTTTGGCTGGAAAAACGACATATGGAGAGGGTTTGTTTTGTCCAGATCTAAACCCAAGGTGTCATCAAGGTGTCATCCACACTGTGGCTGTTGCCCAAACTTGCGAGTTGACTTCCCCAAGCCGCCGTCGTTCTGAAGGATCACTCTTGGCTTGACAACTACTGCTGTTGGACACACAGCTCCGATCGCTCTGAACTCAGGGCTTCCCTCCCTCTAGGTGTGCGGACCTGAAAGGCAAACATGTTTGTCATTTGGAAGGCCATGCTTAAGACCTGAAGAGGTATGATGTTCTTTAAAGTTTGGCAGGGCCACTTGGGACATGCTTGGGACATGTGAAAGTGGCAAGTGCAAACATTGGATTCATGTAAGAAGGCAATGCTTTACCAAAATGCGATAGACCACAGCCTGTTCATCAATCACTCACACTATTGCAGGTGCTGTTCATCGTTCTTCTTAGATGTCAAGTCATACCAATCAGCTCCTGAGCAACGTCCGCTGCATGCCTCCAAAGCCTCTGAGATCCTGAACTTCATTACGGGTGACAACCCACAGTATTATCTGCCGCAGAACTCCATGCAGCTCAGGCGCGGCAGGTTTGTTTGGTCAACAGAAGCGGTTCTGGTGTGGATGTCGCGAAGAGAATGTCCTGGAATTCCGGAGGATCACATTTACAAACTCCTCGATACTGGCACCTGCCTTTGCATCTTCCTCAGTGTACATGGAATGACGGGTATTTTTCTTCTCTTCGTGGCCATGTCACTTGATTACAAAGAACACACTTCGTGTAGTTTTTGTTTAGTAGCAGTCCGCAAGTGAAGGTGCGGAAGGCCTTGATGGATGTGATTAACTACCCTGCCTGTCATTCCGCTTGCTTGCGAGTGGGTAAGAAGGCAGGCTGCTTTCCTGCAACCCAGGTATCGCTGGAAGAAGATCTGGTTCAGAACATGACCTATGCTGACCAGATGCACGAGGCCGTCCTTCTCTTCAAGTCATGCAGAAAAAACTCTTCTATTCGTGTCTCTCCGCAAACACCACCCGCACCTAGCAGGTAAGGATGTAGGCTCAGAAGCTCCAACTTGGGCCCTAGTCAGGCCTAACACGGGCAATTTGGACCTTGACATAGACCCAACAAGGAGAACATGGTCCAGAAAGGTGTACCATCGCGGCCAAATTTGTGGCAAGTTGGGTTCAACTGTGCGGCAGCTTGATTTGTGGAGACCGTCGGGTAGACAATGTGGCCCAAATCCTTAAGGTTGACCTATGTTTCTTAAACGCCTTCTTTTTCTCCTGCGGTCACATGTCGGTATCATAGCTGCAGCGTGGGCTGAATTCAGAATCCACATAATTCTATAGTTCGCACAAAATCAGTGGTGTATGCAGGGGCAGGTCACCTTTTCAGACCAGGTTCCCCTTATTGGGGTCAGTGTTGGGGTCAACTTGGGCCACATCGGCACCAAGATGAGCCTATATTCCGAAGATGGTGCTCCAACATGTCCAGCATTGTCAAAAAGGTCAAACACATTTTCTTTAAGGGGGGTAGGGGTGGGTAGCAGCTAGCTAAGCTAGAGGTAGCTAGTACCTACAAGTAGCTACTACTGACAGGACGCAGGATAGCTCATGCTTCTTCAAGGAAGCTCCCCATGCCGCCCTAAAGGTGGCGGGGGAAGATTCCTTGAAGAAGCGCTCGCACTCTTCATTTGGTTCCTAGATTTTTAGGGAAGCTTAACTTAACAGCTGCTATCGGTTACGATCTGTGACTTCTAATGTTGGCATCCCTCTTAGCCAAGCTAACTGCAGCTAACTACAGCAGCTATGTTGTCTTGGATCAGTGGTCGTGACACATTCTACACGCCTCAGTCAGCACCTTCGGTGCGAAGCTTTTGCTCGTTTTGCGCTTTATTGGCCCAGCTAGGCATCTCAATCAGTCTGTGGACGACTGTTTCTGGAGCTTCACACGGATCTTGAGTGTGCACCTCAGCTACGTAGGAGCCTCCTAAGACACTCCTGAGGCTTCTGAGGAGCAGCTGCCATTCTGGCGTGGCATCCATCTCCTTTCCTTGAACCAATGACTTATCCCACCAGCTCTGGATTTCTGAGGCAAGGCTTTCCAGTTCCCGTTGGCTGCTACGTTACACCCTCAGCCCACAGTACCTGGTACATCCAGCATGGGAGCAACAAACATGGCCGCAGCTCCGAGGTGGACACCAACCGCTATGGCTCTGAAGGACGGGTGATTGCGATCTACCTCCTCTTTGAGGCGATCTGAACTGGCTTACCAGGTGAAAGGCAAAGAATTTCTTGGACCCCCAAAGACCGCAGCATAGGGGAATTCAATGGAATTGAATGGAATTGATCCGCCGGAGTTTGGAGTTAGATGATTGCATGTTGTTTTCTTCCATTTCGCCACAGAAGAGCAGAGGTTGAGCCTTTTCCGGCCTTCAGGCTCTCAATGGCCTTCAAGCCCAAACCTCCTATACCATCGTGCGGACCGCACGATCTTGTTTTGCATTTTCAGCACATGTGTCTCAATATTTTGATCGGCATACGACCTAGAACGCACATAACTACCAGCTGCTGGATCGTCACTGAGGTTATGAATGCCAAGCTGCAGATTCCTATGTGACTTGTCTTATGGGGAGCAAGTAAGATATATAGTCTATTTGTGTCGGTTTTCTGGGATCAGGGCTCATTGCAGACATCCTCACAATTGATCAGAAGGGTCGCAGCCAGTTCGTGCAGCTCAGGTCCTTGGCTGAATACGATGCACTGGAGGAGAAGCTCATCGAAGTGGTGACGTTAGGGACTGTGAAAACTGCACTTGAACATCGCCTGGTACAGGTTCTTCATGACCCACAGACATGCCAGCAATGCTTGGTCATCGCCCTCTCTGCTCCCCTTTTTTACCAGAGGCACAGCGAATCTTGCCCCTCTGGTCTAGCAGCCATGCATGTCGGATGGATAAATTTTACAGGACAGAAATTGGGCTGTTTAATCCGTTCCCCTGACTGCTGAGTCCGCCCTAGAGGGCATCCGCAATAGTAACAAGAGTCATTTTGTACTTAAGGGCAGGAGAGCCTTCCATTCTGCCATGCAGGCAAGGTCTCCTGAATCTCTACAGTCCGGTCATGCTTGAACCCGTGCACTTGTGATATTCAGTTGAGTTGCCTCCAGACAGTCAACATGTGTGGAAGTGACATGTAGTATGTGCTCCTAGGCTGGATGACATAAAGCTCAAGCCTGAGGCCGGCCACCTGGACCCGAGAAAAACGCCATATACTGTATATATATATATATACAATTGGAGCTTGGTAGGTCCTTGGAAGAAGGCTTTTGAGATTTGTTTGATTATCTATCTATCTATCTTTCTTTCTATCTATCTATTTATTCCAACGGTGCTTTTTGCAACTTTATCACAGCGCTGGAGGGGGTCAGCAGATGCAAGCTTGCTGGTTGCACTGCTTTGCTGCTTTGTCATCTCAAGCGCACCTCGGGTGGAGCATGCATGCTCCAAGTTTCCTATTGACCCACTTATGGATCCTGCGTATCTCTTTTGCTGCGAGCCCAAGCTGCTGGGTTGCATGCGACGAGACTTCTGAACTGCAGCTGTCGAGGCCACGATTCGCAGGAGGTGGACAGGAACTACGTGAGGATTTGGTGCGCTTTGCTGGAGCAGCACAGAAGCCGGTACTCGCAGAAGACGAGCTCCCGGTTCTTCCAGTGGCGGGGCGAAGTCCACAAGAGCTGCTCCAGCATGTTAATCCAGATGGTTCAGCCAATCTTTGGCCAAGGGATACAGGAGGAACACGCAAAGCACGCAAAGAAGATGCAGCTTTGGGCCAGGCAAGTACTATGAGAGATAGTGGGCAAGTCTTCAGGGTGAAGACCAGGCGAAGAAGATTAAAAAGAGAGAAATATCGTTTTGCTCCAGATGGGTCTCAAGGCCTGCTGGCGCTTGCTCATTTTGCTCCTTCTCTTGAAGCAGAGACGCCTGCAGAGAGCTCCGGAGAAGACGTATTTCTCGATTGTGGAACAGCGTTGTTCACTCCGGCACAGTGGCACTTTGTGTTTAGGCCGCCAAACACTGGTGACTTCAATGTTCTTGTGTCAGTGCCCCACAATCAGAAGATTGAGCACCATCAAATTTCTACGATGGAGTTGTCTGTGGCAGCCATCTTTGACAACTGGCAACCCTTTCAAGTGAGATTGGTGGGTCCTTCAAGAACCAGCATCTTACTCAAGCAGGCAAATACAGAGGAATGCGCAGATTTGCACTGTGACTTTACTGAAACGCGATCTTGTCACAGTTGCACAAGACCTGTAGAGAGCTTGAGCGCCTTCACTGGTGAATCAGCCTTAGGCACATGGATAGTGGCATTCGAGGATTCTGCAGGTCGCAAACGGTCTACAGCTGTCGCATGGGCGGCACTCAGAATCACCTTCAGCTGCGCGCCGCCTCTTCCTGCTTGAGAACCTCAACAAAAAATCGCACTCCAGTTTTTCAATCAGTTCTCTCTTGGACGAATGTATCATCTTGTCCATCCGGGTCCAAATTGGACCAACGGCTGAGAGCATTGATTGACCAAAATTGAAGCCAAACACATACTGTAATGCAATTTTGTATGCAAAGCCAAAAGATGCTTGCTACTCTCAGCGTGAGGGCAAAATGACAGTGCGATGCGGATGGCCTTGACAGGCCCTATAGTGTCGTCTCGGAATCGTTTTTGCGGGAGAGCCATAAAGCAGTTGTGAACTTAAAGTTCAGGCTTCAGGCTGCTCCGTTCGTAGCGTCCTCTTGTTCCTTTTAGCTGGAGCCGATGACGCACAGGGAGTGGTCGATGTCGGCTACGTGAACCCCGACAAGCCGATGCAGAGATCAGCTGACCGCTCGGTGGTGCTTGGCGTGCTTGCCAAACATCGATTCGGGTCAGTTTTCCAATTGCATGATGTACACAAAATCTAACTCCAGACGGAGGTGAACTCCCCAATGGGGGGGCTGCTTTTGAGAGAATATGGCTGTGGGTCAAAACCCAGGGTAGGTTGACCTCCTTAGTAGTCCATTCTGTTCATTTTTTGTGGTCAACCAAGGTAGCCCGGTTTTGACCAGAACCGGTATTTCTCTGTTTTTTTACGTTTTTTCCGGGAATATGTTTTGTTATTTTTTCTGCTTCTGCTTTTGCTTTTGCTTATGCTTTTGATTTTTGCTTCTGCTCTTATTTGCTTTTCTTTTGCTTTTCTTTTGCTTTTGCTTTTTGCTTTTTGCTTCTGCTTCTGCTTTCGCTTTTTGCTTCTGCTTTTGCTTTTGCGTTCTGCTTTTGCTTTTGCTTCTGCTCTGCCTTTGCTGCTGCTTCCGCTGCGTCTTTTGCTGCTGCTTTTGCACTTGCTCTTGCTTCTGCTTTTGCTTCTGCTTCTGCATTTGCTCTTGCTTCTGCTTTGGCAATTGCAAATATAGGCAGCTTGAAGCGCTGCAAATGCTGCTGCAAGAGGCGGCTTTGTTTACTGCACTGCTTGCTGCGCTGCTTGCCGTGGCCAGGGTCTACCGAGCGTGTCTTGCTGCAAGCGGCCAGCTTCCAATACTACGCTGGTTGCAGTAGAGACCCTGTGCTGCTGCAAGTGGCCAGCTTCCAACGCTGCCCGCACAGTTTAGAGGAGGAAGGTGCCAGTCCAACAGCGCAAACCTTGTGTGCCACTCTAAAGCCAAAATGAACGGAGGAAGGTGGCAATCCAACGGTGCACACGTTTTATGAGCCAAGCGAGGGCACAATTAAGAGAAGGAACGTGCCACTCCAACGGTGCATAACTTTTGTGACGTTTTGCGAGCCACTCGAGGGTAAAATTTAGAGGAAGGTGCCATTCCAACGGTGCATACCTTTTGTGACCTGTTGTGAGCCACTCGAGGGAAAAATTTGGAGGAAGGTGCCGTGCACCCAAGGGTAAAATTTAGAGGAGGAAGGTGCTATTCCAACGGTGCACACCTTTTAATTGTGACTTTGTGAGCCACCCGAGGTTGAAATTTAGAGGAGGAATGAGGAAGGTGCCATTCCAACGGCGCGGGGCTTTTGTGAGCCACCCGAGGGTAAAATTTGGAGGAGGAAGGTGCCAGCATACCTTTTCTGAACCACCCGAGGTTGAAATTTAGAGGAGGAAGGTGCCATGCCACGGTGTGAGCCACCCGAGGGTAACATTTAGAGGAGGAAGGTCCCATTCCAGGGGTACGTACCAGAGACTGGAAGCTGGAAGACAGCGCAAAAAAGTCCCTATTGTAGTTCCTCTCTCCATTTTTCTCACGGCTCCTTCTCCTTCGTCAAGTGGGGTGCCTTTTCTGCCCCGTCCCTCTGTCACTGTCTCGCTTTCCCTGCCGCTGGCTTTGCTGCTTCGTCCCCTGACACTTCTGCTGCCCCTGATGCTTTTGAAAAGCACTCCCAAGAAAACGCGAAACAAATTACCAGAAAAATGTCGAAAACAAATCTGGAAAATACATATCCTTTTGACCCGCAGACATATGATACCTTCAGACACTTCTCTTGTTTCTAAAGAACATGTTCTCGCTCTTGAACCATGTGTATATATAATATATATTTCTTCGCTGACCTACTTCCCCGCCTGCCAGAACACAAGCGAAGATATGCGCTGGTTTCAAGGAGGTCCAGTCCTGATGAGATTTGTGCGTGTGTATGTGTCTACGTGACCATTTTTTGCTTTCGAAAGGGAAAGAACTACTGCTCATTGTTTCATGTTGGGACAAGCCTCTAAAAGCTACTCGTATTTTCGTCATGGCTGTGATCCAGAGCAACCCAGAGAACCCACGACCATTCCGTGGGTCTTGCAAGCCAGCCAACAGATTCACCACCGCTGGTTCGGCCGGTCTTCCGAACATGACATGCAGCCTATCGCTTTAGACTGAACCTATGTTGCCACCAGCAATTCGCAGGTTATGGCGGCATTTACCTCCAGCGCTTTGCAGTGAACGACATCGTGGATGGACCTCGGCCGCCTTACCCCCAGGTGAAACAGGACATGGTGCATCCAGCAGCGAGTCGGGACACGGAAGACACAGGACGAGGAACGTGTGCTTTTAACCCTTTGCGTTCTGAGGGCAGAAGACGAGGCAGTTCTTAATGTTGCTGACATGGCCGTGGCTGACGAACTGGGTACGAAACCAAGTGGTGGTCATTGCTTTCACTTGCAGTCATGTTGAACATACTGCAAATCTTGATCTCCAACATCAGATTTGCTTTCTTCAATACAGAACGCTGTTTTGATTCTGTGGTAGGATTCTTTGCTTGGTTCCTGTCTTGAGTGGCCGTTCCTTGACCTTGGAATTGTGTGTGCAAAACTTTAGGCGCAAGATCTTCCCTTGCATGAAACAGGCTCTCTTTATTCAAGCAATCGCTCCCCCGAATCACAGCGCCGTAGACCCCAAACAGCTTGTGTTTTTCACAACCGGAACACTCTGCAACTAGAGCTTGCGACGTCCAGAGCTGGGAGACAAAGGATTGCAAGGCAGAGGCGCTCGGAAGGAAGACAAGGCGGACGCAATGACCAACAAGAAACAACAAGGGAGACAAGAAGGGGAGACAAAAGGAAACAGAAGGGAGACAAGATGGACACAGTGACCAACAAGGAGGGAGACAAGACCGGAGATAAACAGAAACAACAATGCGGACACGATGACCAACAAGAAGGGAGACAAGAAGGAAAACAAAAACAAAACAGAAGGGAGACAAGGCGGACAGTGATCCACAAGAAGGGAGACAAGACCGGAGTCAAAGGGAGACAGAAGGGGCGAGGCGGACACAATGACCAACAAGAGGGAGACAAAAAGGAGACAAAAGATAACAGAAGGGAGACAAGACGGACGCAATGATCAACAAGACGGGAGACAAGAAGGGAGACAAAAGGAGACAGAAGCGAGACAAGACGGACGCAGTGACCCACAAGAAAAAAGACAAGACCGGAGACAAAGAAAGAGTGAAGGGAGACAAGACGGACACAGTGACCACAAGAAGGGAGACAAAAGGAAACAGAAGGGAGACAAGGCGGACACAGCGACCGACAAGAAGGGGGACACGGTGACCAACAAGAGACTGCGGCAGCAAGGCGAACACTCTTAGAAAGCATTTAGAACAGTAACCTGTTTGGGGAAGTGCAGAAATCACAGACAAATGAATAGAAATGCTGGAAAGGGGAAAAGGGCGGATGCCAGCAGTGCAGGCACCGAACCTGGAAAACCAAAGTAAACAAACCGCATGGGAAACAAATGAATAGAAATGCTGCATGGCCAACGGAAAAGGGCGGACACCAGCAGTGCAGGCACCGAACCTGGGAGACAAAAGTAAAGAAATCACTTTAAAGACAAACGAATTGAAATGCTGCATGGCCAGCAGAAATGGGCGGACACCAGCAGTGACAGAAAGGGCCGACGCATCTTAAGAAAGAATTGAGAAACCCTACGTAACGGCAAACTGTTTGGGGAATGAATAGACATGTTGCATCGCCAGCGGGAAAGGGCAGACACCACCATTGACACACCTCGGAGACAAATGATCAGAAAAAATGCTACATGGCCAACGGAAAAGGGTGGACACCAGCAGCGACAGACCTGGGAGACAAATGAATAGAAATGCTACATGGCCAGGGGCGGACACCACCAGTGACAGACCTGGGAGACAAATGAATAGAAATGTTGCATCGCCAGCGTCAAAGGGCGGACACCAGCAGTGACAGACCTGGGAGACACTACATGGGCAGCGGAAAAGGGCGGACACAGACCTGGGAGGAGACAAGAACTGCTAGATGGCCGGCGGAACAGGGCGGACACCAGCTGTGACAGACCTGGGAGACAAATGAATAGAAGTGCTACATGGCCAGCGGAAAAGGGCGGACACCAGCAGCGACACAAAGGGCGGACACATGTTAAGAAAGAATTGAGAACCCCTAACAGTAAACTGCTTGGGGAAAAGCAGCGAGTCTTCCATTAGGTTTCTTTCAGACAAGAAGGCCCGCGCTACTAATTCCGGTGAGACTTGCTTTTTTGCTTGTCGGCTTACCATGTGAGCACTTTGGAGCATCTGTTTTTTTACAATGGTTTTTGGTGTGCGCCAGATAGGGTTGTGCCAAACGGTGTCCGAACAAACAAGTTTACTTACACTATGTTCACCGCTACTACCACTTGGAAAGGCGTTGCGCCCCCTAAACCTCTAGCAATCTGGCTTTTGTAACACCACGTTAGAACGATCTAGAATGTCCTAACACCACGTTAGAACGAACTAGTATGTCCTAACACCATGTTAGAACACACTAGTACGTACTAACATCATTGCTAGTACAGACTAGTATGTCAAGATGTTAGTACAATCTAGCGTGTACTAACAACATGTTAGTACAAACTAGTATGTACGAACACCATGTTAGTACAAACTAGTATGTACTAACAAAATGTTGAACGTACTAACGTTTGTTATCGCGTACCAACACATGTTAGTACATTTCAGGGACATTGTTAGTACATTTTGGGGACATTGTTAGTACATTTGAGAACGTTGTTAGTACGTACTAACATTTTTTTTAATATGTTCTAACATTGTGTTAGTACGTTCTAACATGTTTTTAGTACATACCATTATGTACTAACATGGTGCTAGTACATACTAGTATGTACTAACATGGTGTTAGTACATACTAGTATGTATTAACATGGTGTTAGTACACACAAGTTTGTACTAACATGGTGTTAGGACATACTAGTATGTACTAGCATGGTGTCAGTACACACTAGTTTGTACTAACATGGTGTTAGGACATACTAGTTTGTTCTAGGGTGGTATTAGGACATTCTATTTTGTTCCAACGTCGAAAAAACACCCGCACGCCGCTGTGTGCTGGAATCTTGACCCTTACTACAAAGGGCACCATATATATATATATATAGACTATAGACTATAGGTCTGCATGACGCTCTTTCTATAGTGCCTAAAGAAACTTCTACCCGAGATATATCTGACATTTCCTGGGACGTGCATCTTTCGATGAGCTTGTCGCGATTCCGATTGATCAGTTAATGCATCTTGATGAAGTGTGAGCAAAAGTATCCTTAGAATCTTTGTTTTTTTTGGGAACATGCCCCAAAACAAGGTCTCCACTAACCCAGGATTTTATTCCGTACTTGGACCAAGTCTCGTTGGAATTAGTAGCGCGCACTCACAAAGAAAACAGGTTCTATCCGATCCAACCCGAGCCGTAGAAGATCTTGACAGAGTGCAAGCCGAGGTCTGTCTTTCGTCATTCGTGGAGAAGAGAGGGGTAAAATTACCCAACAGTTGCATGCTGAGAATCCAGTATGCAAACAGCGTAGATCAACTGAAAATTGTGCTGCATATTATCAATCAAAGATCAAATGCGCCCAACAGAAATCATTTGGTGACCCCCAAAGAAATCAATCAGGAACCAACCATTGTCCTGATCCCTCGACATGATTCTGATCAACCCCATTTGTTGCGAGCACATAGACATCTAGGTCCTTGCTGCGAATCTACTTGTGGCCATTGACAGTCTGGAACTTTGACATTCGCACGCGGGAGTGCCCAGCGTGGACGTAGGACCGGAGAAGGACTCTGTTTGAGGAGATTGCTCTCAACGTCAAGCTTAATTGTAGCGAAAACAGGTGGATGCCGCTGTCGGTTGACGCTTGCCGCCCTGAGGCCATGCCAGGCCAACTGCCAACCGCACTTTTCAAAGTTGTGCACTTCCACTGTGCCTGGGATACAACTTTGCAAGTTCAGCGAAGAGCACTTGTTGCACGCTTGCCTGAAAAGACATTGGTTTGAATTGGTATATATATATATATTATATATATATGTATTGGTTATACAATGGGTTTCTTCACCGCACGAGAGTGCATGAGATCATTCAGCCGGAGCAAGTGCAGAACATCAAAGCGATAGGACACACCAAGTTGGGTTTCAATGCCACCCTGGCATTCACAGGTTTTTCCATCGCCATATAGATTGTGCAGATTGTTGAACATGACCCCTTTCCCGCACATCCTTTGATGCCCTGCAAGCGAGCAACAGGTGTTATTCTGAAACTTCCCGGCCAAGAGATTGCAGTTCCAATTGCTTCTATCATGGTACAGAACCCACGGAACCCCGGGGACTGCGACTGTCAGTGAGGTGGACTGTCAGATGGAGTCAGCAATGTCTCTTTGCCTGGGCCTTTGCTTGAGATCAAAAGAGACCTCGCTGCGTTTGAAGTTTGAGGACTTAGCTGTCATCCAGACTCTGCCTGTAGTACATCAGCTGTTCTCTGAAACTAAGGGGTGGCTGAACAGCTGAACTTGACCAAGTTGCATGTTGACATTCTTTTTGATGCTTTCATGACAATACTGTAACACTTCAAGCGGATCTTGCCCACATGTGCTGTGCACGATGATGTGGTGGTGTTGCTGCCCTCGCTCCCAAGGTGAAGACTTTATACCACCGTTGGCTCAGCAATGGGCGTGGCTGGCAAGCTTGCGACAGTCCACATCAACACCAAGCCTCGTTGAAATGTGACCCTTCAAAGAGTGAACACATGTGCTCATTCGACTTGATTAGCCCAAAGCATGGCTTTTTGAAACTGCACTGTAGATTCAAGATCCCCTTTCGGATGGACACGGCTGGGAATGAATCGCTTAGTTTTCTAGGACTTGGATGTCCCAACTACGCAAAGATTGGGAAAGATATCCAGGAGATTGGCCAGAGTACCCCCATACCTTTTCAGGCAAACACAATGGATGTTGCGCCATCCGCAAGCCCCAGCAAAATTGGTTTGGGCCATTGCGAAATTCGCAATAACTGCTGCGAATGTGGGATTTCATTGACTGCAGGGCATGTGAGGTTCTGTTTTTTCCGCATCTGCGGTGCTTTACAGCCGACCTCCAAGCTGACCTCCGGGGCCGACCTCCAAGCTGACCAAACCCGAGTGTCACGCGTGGCGCGTCACGCGTTTTTGCTTGCGTTGCTACCTTTAGCGATCCACTTCTAGATATAAATCTTCTGCATAAATGACATCAATCCGGGGAAGCCCCTTTGTGATCTTCACCCGCGCTCAGCTTGCTAAGCCATTCTCGCTGTCTTCATGGTATGTTCGACATGTTGCCGATTCCCTGCATGAAGATTCAGGTTGCTCCTGAAACTCAAACAGAACCAAGACTTTAAGAAAAATGCTCACTTTGTGATTGCTCCTTTATCAGTTTGTGTTCCTTTTTGCTTTCTTTTCTATTCAGGAGTGCGCTCTCGATCAGCAAATGTCTAAGCACATAGCCAGTCATTGATTCTCATTCGTTGCTTTTTCTCCTTAAAACCTCTCTCTCGCTCTCTCGTGCCACCATCATTGCCAGGTTGACACAAGGGGTAGGGCATGTGACTGGTATGCTCAGCCTGGCGTTTGCAATACGGACGGTGAGTTCTACACTCCAAGCGGTGTGCTTAGAAGCGTTAGTTTTTTTGTTGCCTGAGAGGTAGAGAGAATGGCAGCCGTATAGATGATATATATATATACAAACATACGAACCAATACAGCAAAAAGAGACAGAGTTGAGGAGGGGAGGACCCAACTGCACCAAATGTGAAGGACTTTTCATGCGAGTTGGGGTTGAGGAGCAATTGAGAAACAAATGTGGTTGCACCTGGACAAAACAGGACGTGCAATTTACAGTTTGAAGGCAGTGACATTATTGGCTGGATGCTAGATGGATGCTATGGGAGCGCAACCCAAGTCTAGGTCATGGCTATTCAGCTTTGTTTGCTTGCTGCGTTTGTGTCCCAGCCTCAGACACTTCTGAGAGGCCTGGCTGATGAATTGTTCCCACTTTAGACGGATCATGGCTTGATTGTAGGAAGTACTACTCCAGCACAGGTTTCCTTCGAGTCAGCATGTAGTGATGTCCCCACAATCTGAATTTTGAAATGTCACTTTAAAGTTTAAAGCTGCACATGGCAGGAAGGAGGAGTTCGATCGAACGCCAACATCATCAAGCTTCGCCTACCAACAAGGCGACAATAGTGACTACAGAAGCAACACGTACACGAAACTGACCAGTGGACAATAGTGGACCGCTCACCCAGCTGCTTGTTGGTTTGTTCTCAACAGCCATCCAATCTAAGAAGGTCCCGATGACCTTTGCCAGTTTTACCTCTGATGTATCCTATCAATGTTTGATGTTTGTCGTTGCTCGACCACGAGGTAATTTCCTCCACGATTCTGGAACCCCATTGCGCAGGATGGATCCAGCCTTCACATCAGAAGTGATGCACACAATCCGCTTTTGGGCTGTGCTACACTGAGCGTGGCCATGACATCGGAAGATCCTTGTTTTGGGCTGGCAGGATTTGTGAACAGTTTGGATTCCAAGATGTGCTCTGAGCAAAACACAAAGGGTTACAGCCACTTTCCCTAAACATCTAGGAAACATCTAGGAACTAAATCAGTTGTGAGACCGCTTCTTCAAAGAAGCTCCATCCCGCCGTCAGCCTGGGGGAGCTTCATTGAAGAAGCGTGAGCTATCCTGCGTCCTAGCAAAGAATGAACTTCTCCTACTAGCGAACTAGTCGCCCTTGCTTACAGTAATTAAGTAGGAGCAAGGGCATCGCTACTAGTAACAAGGGCATCGCTACTAGGAGCAAGGACGCTACTAGGGGCTCCTGGCCTACTTAAGTAGGGCGTTAATTAAGTAGGCGCCTACTAAAGTATGAGGCAAGAGGGCCGAGCGGGCTAAAAAAAAAGACACGCGGAATGGTCTCTGAGGCTCGGCCCTTGCCAAAGCGTGGCTTCTTCCCGATCCGCATGGGCGCACAAATCTCCACGTCCAATGATGGCTACCCTGACTACACACAAGTGCCAGGCCCTCAAGCTGGACAACTCTTCGAGAAAAGGTTTGGGATTTCCGGTGCTAGTTGAAAAGAGCCAGTTTTGCTTATCTTCAAATTTGCTTCTTGGAATCTTTCTCGGATTGTGCATCATGTGCTGAGTGTGCCAAGGGCAGGACGGTATCTTGCGCACCTACCTCCCCAAACCAGCTATGCATCAGTGGTGCAAGAGCCTCAGCTCCGAGCAGTTGGCCCTGTTGAACCCCTGAGCATGGATATATGACATATTCCGATGCAGTAAGAAAAGATAAGAAAAGAACAACACCTACTAACACCTATTCATCCTCATAAAGACCAGAGTTTGTGCAACTGGGTGAAGTGGCATGTTCTGATGATACGCGTGGAGCCTTTTCGTTTGGCCAGGGGCTCGTTGGTTGGCGTGGAGGGTTGGGGAAACTTGAGGCCAGGGGTTTGGAAGAGTGGACCATCCTTGAGATGTCAGATATGGAAAGCACTGTCTTCACAAGATGGATAATCAAAGAGACAAGGCCCCCCCTTTTAAAGCGTCCTTCCATCCATTTTGTCATCTCATTTCTTCAATTGGAAGTCCGTGTTCTCGGGTTGCTACAGAATGCGGCCGCTCAGCCTTTCTGACTCCGGTTTCGAGTTAGGCGAGAGACTGCATCTCATACACTGCCAGGCAATTCAACTCTGACCCAGTCTGGAACAATATGTGCCCTTTGCCTTTTCAACATGATTTGGAGCCAGTACCTGTCAAGCGCGTAACATGTTTATAAGACTTGGTCTTCGGTCTTCAATGTCCCAGGTACATCCGCATGCAGATGCCTTTGACGGTTCGCGCTGTGGGAGGTGCCGGGCGGTTGTGAATGGAGCCCAGACTCATGCTATATACAACTGATGTTAGCTGATTTTTCACCAGGTCATTTGCTGAACCTAGTGACCGAGTGACGGTTCCTTTTTTTTTCACCAGACAGTGGAGATTGAACGATATGTGCAAAGCAGTGGACTTGGTCACCCTGCGGACACCTCTTGTCTCCAACCGGAGAACTGGCGGAGAACTGGCTTGCACGACAGCTTGTAGGTGGCCCAGAGCACACCTTGTGGCGAAGTACCGCTTATTTCGAGGTGGTGTTGCCACCAGGCCAAGGGAGAAGCGAAGAAAGGAGGCAAGGGCCCTTTAATAAGGCCTAATCAGGCATCCTTTAAAGGTTTGCCTTATTCAATGAGCCCTTCCCTCTTTCTTCTCTTCATTTTTCAAAGGAACACCGACTGCCTGAACATGCTTGAATCCCGCATCCAACTTTGGTGTTGAAATCTTTCTGCGGCAAATCAACGTAAGTGAAAGCCCTGATACGTTGCACCCTGCTCTCTCGAGGCTACAAGTGCATGCATGCCGAGCGAGCTCTGGGCCCTGCAGATGGTGACAACCAGGCGGCTCGTAAGTAGATCCATGTTCGCTTCAGGACGAGCACATGTTTTCTTTCCCATAGAAGCTAGGTCTGCAGATCCTGTAGAGCATCCGACTGTGAAAGAAGCCGTCCAACATACCCCTCGGTGAGCGGAAGATAGACTTGAGGGAAGTCGAGCATTGGAAAGCTGGTGAAATCGATGAGGTTCAGATGCCGTGGCTGTCAGAGACTCGGTCTGAAGAAACCCATCCACGAAGGAATCGACGCACGGTCCGTGCGTCGCCACGCTCAGGTCAATTGTGTCTCCTCAGGTGGGGTGGGATCTGGGAAGGATGTCCCTTGGGCCAAAGCGGACTGCGCTGGCCCGAGGTTTCATGACGTCTTCAGTGAAGCGATGTTTGCTTTCCAGGTGCTGAACTTGTTCATCGGTTCATCGGCTTTTCCAGAATCCACTCCACCTGTGTACCTCCAAGACTTATATCCCTGACACTCCAACTTAATAGCAATGGCCTCCAACCTACTTACCACCGATATCCAGCGATGGCCTCAATCTCAAAAAGAGACAGACAAATCTGTGTTGAGTCGATTGCTGCAACAAATGTCCGCAGGGCAAAGGCCTGTTGCCGGGCGCGGATGTGCGGGAAGGCGGCAACCTGTGCCTGTGAAGCATTGATGGTTGGATTCAGCTTGCAACAGCCCGGGACAACGGTGCGCAAGTAAACTTTGTTGCATTCATATATATATATATATATCTTTTGAACAATTCTGAAACAAAGCTACTAGTACACAGCTTCATGTCTAAGGAGCGCTCCTGGTGTGATTTGGCCAAGTGGAGATTGGGAGTTTATGGACAACAAGTGCCCTGGCAATCTAATGACCTTAGTCTGATCCTTGCCACAGATGACTTGGCAATTGGCTAGTTTGACGCATAATGGCATCAATGCCAGTTGTCCTTTCTGACAATAGTTGCCTTTGCAGAAACTTTTGTTTGCGTAAGAACAGACATTCATCCGTAGGATCCGACACAAGCCACCAAAAAAGAAGTTCATCCAGAATCATTTCGCAATATTGTACTTTGACACTATGACCCACGTCCTTTTCATTGCACTTTATCGGCCATGTAGGTGTATCTTCTACATGACTCCTGACATGACGCTCTACGATCGCCAGCGCAGGGATGCTTGGAATTTCGGCCAATGAGGTAGAGTTACTTGTAGGCAGAAGTAGGTCTTAGCCTTTGACTGGTCAATCTGACGCCCAATGCTTGGGAATATGTACACATTGGCATGTTGGCTGTCGCTTTTTTATTCTCTGTGTGTTCATGCATAGGCCTCTACCTGTACATTTGGGCCTTGAACCCGTCACGGCCAATGCCAAGAGATGATCCGGAGAACGTTTGGCAGGTGTGGGTGTTAATTTCGACTTCTTTTGCCCCTTCAGGCTGCTGTTGATGTTGTTGCTGCTTGCATAATTACGTAGTCTACCGGTCAAGTATTATACTATATGATACTCAGAATGGGCTGACACAATGCCTCCTTTCGGCCTTCAGATCAATTTCAGATCTGCTGGCACTTGGGCTCTTCCGGAATCTTGGTCTGCACAAGATCAATTTCTGGTTGTCAGAACGCAAATCCAAGGGTTGATTTAGCGTGCCTTTGATGTAAGAAGTGTGCCTGCTCTCCGTGTGCCAAGGATCAACACACAATACCATGCCAGCCCTTTCTTCCACCATTCTGCAATGATACAGGAGAAAAGTACTTTGTCTGGACCTCAAGGCTAAAATTGGGCCTCCAAACTGTTGCAAGTGAGTGGATTGGGTCTCTTCAAGTCCAGCCACAATGGCCGTTCGGGCCGTTGAGCACTGAAAACTCAAGCTGAGGTGAATCCTGAATCCTATCCGCTGGTGTACCGTGACTATTCGCTCCTCTACCCCAACTACACAGAAGTAGAGATGGATCTTGGCTCCTTGACCGCGAACTCGCCGCCATGGCGTTCCTGTAGCTGTCTCACCTTCCCAATTACATTTGGGAAGCAAAGGACATTTGTTGCAGCCACATTTCCACACAGATTGATACCACTTTGAAGTGTTCGTTGTATGCCATTGTTTCTTGGGGACTGTCCAAGTAGGATCTGCCTGCAATACACGGGTGGTGGGCGACTTTATGCAGTCTGAGCAAGCCTGAGGCCCCTACGACTTTGCTGTCCCACCAGGTGAAGACCACTACTTTGTCACGAACTTTGCAGTGCTCGGCGTGCTGAGGCAATCAAAGCTTCCCTGATCACTGTTCTTCTGTTGAAGACAACACTTGAGGGACCTACGGAGGTTTATGCTCAGCCAAAAGAAGACTTGTTACTAAAAGCCTTTTTGTGACCAAGGAGGGTTGACTTGTCGTTCAAACTTTCTTGGACTAGTCTAGGCATTTAGATCAACAAAACTAAGAGCATGTAACGTGATAAACAAATAAGAGGATCAACAAAATATATTCCTGGTCCCCTGGTCCTTAGCCCCCTGATCCTTTTCCTGGCCGGCTGGCCTTGCGGTCGGTCAAAAAGTGCGAGGTTTGCGAACTTCATAATATATGATATTTGCGAATTTGGCACGACCTCTGCAAAACAAAAATGCTGCCTGGTTGCCTTGGTGCTTGTGTGTCTTTCTGGGCGCCCGTCATTGTCGATGAGGGGTCTATGCTGGCGTAATTGCATGTTTTCTCCCACTCCCACTCCTCTCCCAGACACATCTCATGATACAGAATATGCATTTTTGTTCCCAAATGCGTGCACTGGCATAGTTGCAGTTTAACGACTCAGTACCTTCGTGGGCGGATTTTTTGATGATATTCTCATAACCCAGGTAGCGAGAGCAGTATAGGAAGAGGTGCATGTGTGCGCTTTGGAGCCCTGGGTGCTGGTGTCGCTGCGTGGTCGTGTGCTCTTTGGAGCTTGGTGGCGGTGCTGCAGGGTGCCGCTGCTATGCTGCCGACACATGTTGGCGTAGTTGTGTCTTTTTTGACTCCTCACCCCAAGCCTACTGGCCCACCTTTGTACAATCAAACTGTCTCCTCAACTCGACTGCAACCTGGTTGGACGGGGCATAGGTGGCATTACCAGGCATTGTTTGACCGTGCCCTGAATCAGGACCTTCACTTCATTGGTTGCAGATAGGAGATACGGAGATTATCGGAGATTCGATTTCTCTTTTGGTTTGTTACTAAGCCCAGGCATTCCCTTTGAACTCTTTGTAGTCGTGTGCATATTCATCCATGTTGTCAGGCAAACCGTAGTGCAGCCTCCATCGGTTGTGCTAGGTTCCAGGCTGGGGGCATGGAGGGGATGTTGGCGTGATGATGGCATTGGTTGTTTCAAGCTGTTCTGCAGGAATACAGGGTATCAGTCATAGATAGGTAGAAACATTGACGAAACAACTTGATGTCAAACTCTACGTTACAACTCCACGCGCCATTGTCCAGGGATTTTGGCAACAAGATTGAACGACAAGATTGACATGTAAGGGCCTGCAAGGGTCTAAGAAGTGCACCTAGATATTGATCCTGCTTTTGACCATTCAGGACCAAATTTCAGCTTTGGTTTGTTGCTGAAATGGGAGCTGACCGTGGAGGTTTCGTTGGGGCTGGGGACCCCAGACTGGGAAGGACCCATGCCTTTGCCTGGTTGATTGGTACTTGGAACCGCGAACACCACCACCACAACCACCACGACGAGCAGCAACAACAACAAAAGCAGCGTACTTGTCTCCTTGCTACGAGCAGCATGCGCTCCAATGAATGACCGCTTTGTTCTTTTCCTTTTCCATTTTTCAGTTGCTATAGTTAAGTTTCCAAAAAATATCTAGGAGCCAAATCATTAGCGTGAGCTATCCTGCGTCCACACTAGTAGCCACTTAAGCTACTAGCTACCTAGCTACTATCTACCTACCTATCTAGTCTTAAAAAAACAGAATACATTTTTCAGTTGTTTGATTCTAAGTTTCTACCCTTTTCCTTCCTGCGTTGACAGCTCTCAAAGTGCGGAGTTTGGTGTTATGCTGCAGTCCTTTGCAATCGTCGTCACAAAAAGGCTGGTCCTGCGCCCCGCCGTGCTAATCGTGCCCTAAGACCCGCCTCTGGTGACTTTGTGGAGGTATTTTCTCGCGCGTTTCAAGTAATTACATCGCGTTGCCCGCAAAAAGGAACTACTTTGCATACCCGAACATACCTGTACCTGTTCATTCAAAATGGTGCATAAGTCTTTCAGCCTTTCAGCCCAACAATAAGTGCTCACCTGTCTCAGGATGTCAACAGGTCTACAGGAAGATGCGGCGAAGGAACAAAAGACAAAGTTATGCAAGAAGGATTAGTTGCATAGGAAATTCCAGCAAGAAGACACCGCTGCTGCAAAGCGGCCAGACATATGCGCGCAAAGTTTTGTGAAGCTTGAACCTTCTATGTTTACGTAGTAGAAGCCACGCATTCGTTGGATTGATCTTAGAATAATATGTTCCTTCACAAAGTGCACATCCAGGTTAAAAAGAACTCTTCTCTTCATACCAGATAGTAGAAACCACAAGTCAGCAACTCTGCGCATTAAGATTGTATCCATTTGGAGTTGAATTACTCCTGGACAGCCAATAAGAATATATACAATCCCTGTCAGATAGGATCAATATCCACGTATTTGGAAGGATTGTATACGTTAAGTATCAATGTATATATGTCACAATTGTCATGGAAGTGATGTTGATTGTACTGTCCACATAGTCTGCGACTATTTGTTTATTCATTTTAAAGACAGCAGTCCTACTGGACAGCCTGTTGGACCCTCTTGAAGCTCGTGTTTTTTGTGATGTGCAATGGTCCAGCCTATTGGGACTAGCTGGCTTGACATTTGCTGCGCTGTGCGCATCTCAGCAGTTGTAAGGCATTTTATGTGTTTGCTAGCTGCATTTACCTATGGTTGCAAACATTGACGTACGTTTTCTATGTACCGCACTCCATGGCACCCCTGTTAGGACCCCCTATGCTGTTGTGTTCAAATTGAGAAAGACCAGCTGAACCCCGAGCTCTGTCATTTGTGGCATGTAGCAAGCTTTTTGAGGAGCAAAAGCCCAACATGTTGAGCTTAAAAGTCAAAATTTCACAGTTCATGGGGACCGGTTGCATTTCAAAATTGTATGATGCGCTTGTGGCATATTATATAACTCAAAGACTCAAAGCCGAAACTTCGAATGCTCGAAGACCAAGGTTCATTCACCTGGAGGCTTCGAATTTGGAGAGCCTGGCACCGAATTCTGTGAATTGCGCAGACTACTGCATCCCCTTGGCAGAACCTCCCCTTTTTATGCATATGTACAAACATATGTATTATATATATATACACATACATACACACATAATATACATACATAGAAACCAAATCAGGACTTCATGCAGTTCTGTCCTGCCCGACTGAGTCCATGCTCTGCGCGAAACTTGCCAGAGGACACGAGTTCATAAAGAAATATAGGCTTTCGATCTGGCAACTACACTGGCCGTTCACTCATTTGTTTGTTGACTTGTAGGGGAAGCACCCGAAAATTTGCTGGTTGTATTGATGACCAGCTGCTTTGGCTTTCCTTCCCTAGTTTGCTGCAACCCGGTACCCGTCTCACCACATTAAAGCTCGATTTACATATAGTATATATATATATACATAGTTTAAAGATCGTGGGTTGGCGTGAACATGCAAAGATGCAAGTTCTTGTTGCAACTGTATTAAACATGTACTCGGAAGCATCACAAGGGGTGCGTATGCACTCCTACCTTGCGCATTTTCTGCCGCCACTTCGCGGAAGGAGTATTACTCGTCTTTCGGGCCGCCGGGTATGGTGGTGCCTCAACGTGTGTGGCCTCTGGAGGATCGAACGTTTGTTTTGGGGTGTTGGGGAATAGCGAAGGTTTGTGATTCTAGAGCCCACAGCTAATGACCCAGGAGTAACAGCATGAGAGGAGTCTTGAGGTTTTTGGCAAGGCATTACATCACCCACCACAGTCACCACAGTCAACAAATTCTTCGGATTTTGGAAGCATGCAGTCTGACAGAGGGCTTTTCTACTCTCTCACTAAGACACGCAGATTCAGACCAACCATGACCGGCTGTGAATCTCTTCATCGAACGAAACTTGTTGGACAGGACATGGGTGACTGCCATTTGGGGAGTCCACCCAGCTGGCACCCCAACGGGAACTATGCCATGATCAAAGTTGCAGGCAAGTTGGTTCATCTTCAGGAGGGTTCCTATGAGAAGGCTCTGCCACCTTCTCAGCTAGAAATTTGAGGGGTCTCCGATTGATACCACCAGCCTCTGGTCCATCAGATATTCCAACATATTATAGAGATTGATTCATATGAAGCTTCGCGCATAGGGAGGTTCGACACGAAGATGACATCTGCGGGTTCGATTGCAGGCGAAGCATGCTTTTATCGTGTTGCTGCCAGGCTCAGTGATTGCCGACCGATTATATGGGCTGGAGATCGATATTGACCTTCCAGCGTACTTCCTGTCGCAGAATCACAGCAGCTGAGCCCAGGATACATGGAGGGGAGCAAGACAAATCGACTGTGGAGAAGCAGACTGAACAGGTTGTATGTGCTGTGAAACATTTGTGCGCAAATGATAAAAGGATTGGTGCCACCATCAGGGGGGTGGGTGCACCTTCTTCAGAAGGATGGGTGTTAGCGCTTTTTTTTTGGCCACTTGAAGTGATTGGTGGGGTACCGCGTTGGAACCTCCTGACACAGTTATTCCAGAAAAACTATGTTTTTCTCTGGGGTGTCCTGTTCTCCAAAGAAGTTGACACTTAAGCAAGATGATCAAAGGTTCGATTGAGCCGGGCAGCTCAATTGTTTGAGCAGATTTGGCCCCTTGACGATCACTGTGCATGACTGGCAACTAATGCACCTAGTAACAAGAAGCTACTAGTAGCTCCTGGCATACTCCTAGGAGCAAGAAGCTACTAGTAACAAAGGGCATCGCTACTAGTAACAAGAAGCTACTAGTAGTAACAAGAAGCTACTAGGAACAAGTGCATCGCTTCTAG